CCTTCACTTTTTCTCTAGGTCTGAACGTAAAAACATTGATCAACGGTGGCTCCATTCACAACAATAATTTGACACAGGATCCAGATAAAAAGCACAAGGCAAAAATTTCGAAAACTAAAGCATCCAGTGCAGGATTGAGATATTTTATTTTAGTAGGCCTATGGTCATATGTACACACAAGAAGAGGGAATTCAACTGAATGTGACATGGACAAAACTGCTAAAAATGATATTAAAACAGAGCCATCCCTTTGTGAACACTGCACACAGCAGGAAGGAATAATCTTATCAACAGCAGAAGCACAAGTCTGTAACCTGTAGATCCAATCTAATTCTGATCTTCCAAGCAAAGCAAATAGTCACTTTTAAAGAAGTGCCCCATGACAAGAGGTCTAAAAGTGCGTCCAATTTTCGTAAGTTCGACACATTGTAATGGTAAATGTAAGCTTTATCCAACACTTCTTTTGTGGCCTGTAGTTCACACATGCACTCCCTATGGATTATCTAATTTTCTTGTAAAATATAGCAATTTGGGCTTTCTATCATCTACAGAGAGATCACCATACTCTTTGGCTACAAATGCTCTTATCTGTTACTATCAAATGTTTGCCAGTGAAATTGATGTCAATGGTAATGATAGAGATGCCAAAAACAAGGCTACATTATACATTAATTAAAATATTCAGTTCAAAGTACGATATAACCTTGAAAGTACTACTACTATTAAAAATGTGCTCACAAGATAGTAAACTTGGTGCCATTACAATCACCCTAGGCACATATGATCAATCTTAAACTAAAAGCACGCAACAAATACCCACGTTTCTATACACAAGGACACATGGTGCAATCAAACATGTTAGCTATACTAGGTGCCAACAAGGGCATAAAACCATACTGCAACAAAAATCCGACGTATGTCTCAACAACAGCTCCAGCACCCCCAATAAAGCACCCTAAACATCAATGTATAGGGGCATAACAGAACGGAGTAGCAATTGTCCTCAAAAGCATCAATTTACATCACCATACAGAGTGCAACCTGATAAACGAGGAATGATATGTATCAATTTACATCGCAATATGAGTTTCATCGAACAATAAAGAGGTTTAGAGTATAGATAATATGTATCCAAAATAAATTTTTTTTAGAGATTGGTTTCATTTTTTTGCACCATACGAGAGAGAACAAAAAATAAAAGAAAACTGTACCCGTTCATAACGGACGCTTTCCTGAACATAAGAATAGGGGTTGACAAATCTTAATCTCAAGAAGTCGTTTCCCATGCTCAGTTGCTCCTTTTGTATTTCCTCTGCTGAAGTAACAACGGAAGGGCTACAGTTATTCAATTCTATTAAATCAAGAGTTGGAATTTCTCCAATACCAAAAGGGATCTTCTCCAGACTTGAGCACCCGTTAATGACTAATTGCCGAAGTTTCGGGAAGTGGATATTTCAGCTCTCCAATGCTTCAGATCAAGTCCTTTAAGTAGTAGATATTTTAGTTGATCAAATTCCCCTTCAATTGGTTCCCACTCTGGGCCTTTGAAGGAACTCCTTTTCAATTTCAACACTTGAAGATTGGGCAGTGAACCAACAATCGTCATATCTTTCCAAGTGTTGAGAAACTGAGAACCAGCCATAATCAATAACCAGAAATCATGCACCAGTAGTAAATGAATTAACACCAGCAAGGACAATGAAACTGAATTGAGAGAAAACGAAAATGAAATGAAACTAAAATTAGAAAATGATAGAGCCTGCTGTAGCA